GAGATTGTTTGCAGCAGCAGGTGGATGCCCAGCGTCTTCTTCTCTGAGCCCTTTTTGTGCGGCTTGTCTTGTACCAACATCCTCCTCGCTCCGTGTCTGATCTCAAATATGAAACATGCAGTAAAAAGTAACGCAGCAGTGTTGGTCATTCAGCGGCCGTATGACAAGAGGGACGTGCAGCGACTTTATTCTCAGCACACAAACGCTTCACCCAAGCGTTTCAGAAAAACCACCAGGGCCTAAATCTGTTTGCGTCTTAAAGGTCAGAGGAAGATCTCAAAGTGAAACTACAAGAAAAGATTTGAGAGTCTGAAAACAAACATGGAGTCCGTATTATGAAGTTCACAAAGCCTCCACTTACATTACGTTCATTTGTAAACTAAATTGACTTCCTCCATCTGTCTGGTGATCCAGACTGAAGCCTCTGTGTGACTTATTATTTACAGTTAAACTGAGCCTCACAGGAAACATTTGAACGGGTGCTCGTGAGGGGGGATGTAATGACCAAAGACATGACAGCGTTTTATTTCAGACACATCTGGAGGGAGGGATTTCCCTTCTTTTGATGTGAACATTGCAGCGCACCAAAGACGTCATGGCTGGAAGTCGTTTAGCTGGATTATCGAGCGGTCGGCCATCGCTTCATGAGGCATAGATCGCTGTCAGATTATAGTGAAGAGAAATAAATGGTTACATCTGGACAAACCTCTGTTTGTGTTTGGTGTAAAACGGAGTAATTGTTCCATGTTGGTGCAAACATTAATGTTGATGACTGCTCACAGCGTGTTTCAAACACACACTGACTTCACCAGAACCAGCTCCAGGGCACTCTGACTTCCACAACAGAGGCTTTGTTGTGTGAATCTAAACTCTCTAAACGCTTTTCTGTGAACACACCACTAGAAACACAGCGGTGCACACACAGTGAAACCACTTATTTCATAAAACTTCTTCTTCTTCTTCTTCTTCTTCTTCTTTTTTATATCTGCTGGCACCGACTGGCAACACGCGGCCGTGTGAGTCACTGTCGTGGCAACAGGAACAACACAAATCCTGAGAGCTTTTCCTCATCAGACATCAGGAAACACATGACACCTTGACGTATCAAACGACCTGCCTCTGGACGACTCAGCCGGTGAGAAAGTGGAAAAATCACTGTGGAGTAAACAGTGGTGACGAGGGTGAAACTCCCCTAAAACCCCTCTGTGTGCCCGCTGCAGCTCCATTACGCTTCTCACTTTGTATATGTGACTGTAACGCACACCTCCACATTAATCACACGAGCGCTCCTGGGAGCCGCCGCCGCCGTCTGCAGGCTGATGAAGTGAAACGTCAGCGGCAGAAGCTGCTCGTGTTTGAAGGTGTTTGAGGAGTTCAGCTAACGGAGGCCCTCCGCTCTGCGTTTCATAACTCCTCAGTGATGTCATCGTTTGTTTCCTCTGCACCAAAAAAAAGTCTCAAACACACTCGGCTGCCATGACAACAAGCTCCCACAAAATATCATAATCACAGTCATACTTCACAAAATGAGAGGAACACATAGTTTTCTTGATTCTGTCAATGAAGACGCTGTGAAGACGTCACCGCTCACTCGCTCCCTCCAGGTGTTTTCCAACACCTGCATCTGTAGTTATGATGTTAAAACAGCTAAAGTAAGAAACCAACAACAGATGATCTGTTCTGAAACTTTGAAACTTAGGTCGTTGTTCACATGGACTCCTCTATAAAAAACAGTTAATTTGACCAAATGTCCAGACAAAGAGAGTCACAGTCACTCTGAGACTTATTTACACTGAAGAAGAGGAGGAGAATATGTCTCCTTTAAAGGGTTAATATGTGATTTTTCTCACTTAAATGTAGAAATCAAGTCTATCCTCTGAAAATAACTCTGTGAGTCATGACTGTCTACAATGGGTGTAACACCCGAGTCCCACTGTCTGTGATGTTTTCAGAGTTTTCAGAGTCCTATCTTCACTTTGTTTACATCGCCGGGACGGCCGGCTGACTCCTCCCCTCGTGTATAAAAGTTGTTTAATTGAGGGACTAGAGAAAAGAAGAATAACATACTGTACTCACTGCTTAACTGTGTTTCTAGATCACGCTCATTTCAGGTAAATTTACATGCAGTGTGAAGATACCAGCATAATAAAGATCACTAGCATTAGCATGCTAACACAACAATGCAGCGTGAGTTGTTTTGGTTTCATGCTGGAGCTCAAGGGCGACATCTGCTGGATCAAAACATCACATATAAAGACTTTAATATGGGGTGTGTATG